ACTGCATCCTGTTTTGGTCACCACGCTATAAAAAAAGATGTTGAGACTCTAGAAAAAGTACAGAGAAGAGCAACCAGGATAGTTAGGGGACTGGAGGCTAAAACATACGATGAATGGTTGCAGGATTTGGGTATGTCTAGTCTAGGGAAGAGAACGACCAGGGGAGACAGGAGAGCATCTTCCAATATTTGAGGGGCTGCCCCAGAGAGGAGGAGGGGGTCAAGCTATTCTCCAAAGCACCTGAAGGCCAGACAAGGAATAATGGATGGAAACTGAACAAGGAGAGATTCAGCCTGGAAATAAGGAGAAATTTTCTGACAGTGAGAAGAATCAACCCACGGAACAAAAGTTGCCCTCGGAAGTTGTGGGAGCGCCATCACTGGAGACTTTCAAGAAGAGATTGGACTGCCATTTGTCAGAAATGGTGTAGGGTCCCCTGCTTGGATGGGTGGGGTGGACTAGATGACCTATAAGGTCCCTTCCAACTCTGATGATCTGTTCTCTGTTAGACATTTTCTTAATCAATGAAACTAGAGAGCTGCCATAACCGAACATTGAGAAGTCAGGAAGTTAAAGACAGGGATACTCCTTTACCCTGACAGCCCTTCTAGAAACAGACGCTGACAAGGAGATGCTTTCCCAGTAAACATATTCTGCTGTGAACGGTCGCACTGTCGTCCAGGATAATATGCCGGACGCAGAAATTCCCTACCAGCCCGCCACAAACGTTGTAGAAAGCGTTGTTAATCTTAGGAAAGCCGACGCCATCTGGCCCAGATCCCAAAACGGATTCTAATCCATTAACTGGAAGCTCCCAGCTGCATTTTCAACGGGGTTGCCGGTCGAAAACACACAGAAGCCCGTTTGAGTTGTGGTTTCTTGGAATAATAGGATAGAAAAGAAGGTGGGCAGAGTTCAACCATCAGCTAATTGCTTGCAGGGGAAATGAAGGCGAGTTCATTCTTTTGATTGGTCAGTTCCCTGGCAAAGGGCGAAGGAATGGGTTGACATTGCAGGGTTGGACTTTACTGTCATTTCAGACACCCCAACAAGGGGTCCCGATGCCCGGGCATGGCTGCCTGCTCTCTGGGTGCAAAGAAAGAGTATCCTGCTATATAAACATGTCAGGGATCCACGTGTGTAATTCAAACAAAGTCCCTGCGTAGCATCACCTGTGCTTTTCTTTCAATAAATCCATCTCATTAAGTAGTATTTCTGCTCTCATCATATTTCCCATTTTTAAACCACTTTTAATCCACTTCTCTGGGGAGATAGGGAACCCTCAGAACAATGACCCTGTCTAGAGTAGAGTAGAGTAGAGTAGGAGTAGAGTAGGAATAGAGTAGAATAGAGTAGAAAGGAATGGAATGGAATATGGAACAGAAGAGAATAATGAATAGAATGGAATGGAACAGAACATAGAATAGAAAAGAACAGAATAGAATGAGTGAGCTGGAAGGGACCTTGGAGGTTTTCTAGTCCAGCCCCCTGATCAAGCAGCCCCCTGATGGCGCAACCAGTATTGAAGGATCTTCAGAAGGACAAAAGACATGAAGCCAGCTTTTAAATTTGGGGGGGAAATATTCCACAAAGCAGGTGCCACAACAGAACAGGCCATGCACCTAGGATCTGCCAAATATAGTGCCCAAGCTCGGGAGATCCACAACATTAGACAAGACAAGACAAGAGATAGATAGACAGATAGATAGAACGGACAGACACAGACAGACAGACAAGATAGAAAGACAGATAGATAGATATAGACAAATATAGACAGGCATGGATGGATGGATGGATGGATGGATGGGTGGATGATAGATAAAATAGATAAGACAGACAGACAGAGAGATAGAAATAGAGACAAATAGACAGATATACACAGACATGGATGGATGGATGGATGGATGGATGGGTGGGTGGGTGGGTGGGTGGGTGGATGGAGACAGACAGATAGACAAATGGTAGATAGGGATGGATAAATGATACAGATGATAAATGATAGACAGACAGAGATAGTCAAGGACCTGAAAATTGCTAACTTCATCTCAGTTAAAAAGTAAACTGGCAAAATGCAAGACAGCCAGAGAAGGCTTTTGATACCAGGAATAACATCCGTTGATCTGTTTTATATCCATTTATCTGTTATAATATCTACCACATCAATGGTAGTTTTTACACTCTGACGATATTAGGCAAATGAAAGCTAAGTACATAATATACACTGCTCAAAAAAAATAAAGGGAACACTTAAACAACACAATGTAACTCCAAGTCAATCACACTTCTGTGAAATCAAACTGTCCACTTAGGTAGCAACACTGATTGACAATCCATTTCACATGCTGTTGTGCAAATGGAATAGACACCAGGTAGAAAGCATAGGCAGTTAGTAAGACATCCTCAATAAAGGAGTGGTTCTGCAGGTGGTGACCACAGACCACTTCTCAGTTCCTATGCTTTCTGGCTGATGGTTTGGTCACTTTTGAATGCTGGTGGTACTTTCACTCTAGTGGTAGCATGAGACAGAGTCTACAACCCACACAAGTGGCTCAGGTAGTGCAGCTCATCCAGGATGGCACATCAATGCGAGCTGTGGCAAGAAGGCTTGCTGTGTCTGTCAGCGTAGTGTCCAGAGCATGGAGGCGCTACCAGGAGACAGGCCAGTACATCAGGAGACATGGAGGAGGCCGTAGGAGGGCATCAAACCCAGCATCAGGACCGCTACCTCCGCCTTTGTGCAAGGAGGGACAGGAGGAGCACTGCCAGAGCCCTGCAAATGACCTCCAGCGGGCCACAAATGTGCATGTGGCTGCTCAAACGGTCAGAAACAGACTCCATGAGGGTGGTATGAGGGCCCGACATCCACAGGTGGGGGTTGTGCTTACAGCCCAACACCATGCAAGACGTTTGGCATTTGCCAGAGAACACCAAGATTGGCAAATTCACCACTGGCACCCTGTGCTCTTCACAGATGAAAGCAGCTTCACACTGAGCACATGTGACAGACGTGACAGGGTCTGGAGATGCCGTGGAGAACGTTCTGCTGCCTGCAACATCCTCCAGTGTGACCGGTTTGGCAGTGGGTCAGCAATGGTGTGGGGTGGCATTTCTTTAGGGGGCCGCACAGCCCTCCATGTGCTTGCCAGAGGTAGCCTGACTACCATGAGGTACCAAGATGAGATCCTCAGACCCCTTGTGAGACCATATGCTGGTGCGGTTGGCCCTGGGTTCCTCCTAATGCAAGACAATGCTAGACCTCATGTGGCTGGAGTGTGTCAGCAGTTCCTGCAAGACGAAGGCATTGATGCTGTGGACTGGCCCGCCCGTTCCCCAGACCTGAATCCAATCACGTCTCGCTCCATCCAGCAACACCACATTGCACCACAGACTGTCCAGGAGTTGGGGGATGCTTTAGTCCAGGTGTGGGAGGAGATCTCTCAGGAGACCATCCGCCACCTCATCAGGAGCATGCCCAGGCGTTGTAGGGAGGTCATACAGGCACGTGGAGGCCACACACACTACTGAGCCTCATTTTGACTTGTTTTAAGGACATTACATCAAAGTTGGATCAGCCTGTAGTGTTTTTTTCCACTTCAATTTTGAGTGTAACTCCAAATCCAGACCTCCATGGGTTGCTAAATTCGATTTCCACTGATAATTTTTGCGTGATTTTGTTGTCAGCATGTTCAACTATGTAATGAACAAAGTATTTAATAAGAATATTTCATTCAGTCTTATTTTTGTGTTCCCTTTATTTTTTTGAGCAGTGTAGTTTAAGTTCCTGTTTTAAGCGTCTGTCTCTACTTTTATAGCTACAACTGGAACTTGAATTTAAGGACAGTTTGCAATATAAATATCTATATCTACATATCTATATCTATCTATCTATCTACACACACACATGCATATGACAAATTATTTTACCACATATTTTCAGGCAGAGGGCACCCCGAATGCCCCTGCCTTCTCTATTTCCCCACAACAACAACCCTACCAGGTAGGCTCATCCAGAAAGGGACCGGCTGGCTTAAGAGTCCCCCAAAGCACTTCAATCATTATTATTGATCCTCACACAGCCAGCCATAAATGCCCAGACTGGATTTGGTCTTTTTATGTACTTACTTGAATGAATGAATGAATGAATGAATGAATGAATGAAAAAAGCCAGCTGGCTGACTTTGGGCCAGTCCTTCTCTTGGCCTGGCCTACCTCACAGGGTAGTTGTTGTTCGGGGGTGGGGGAATAGGAGGAGGAAGGAGTATTAAGTATGTTCCAAATCTCTATATGTGTGTATATATATATGTGTGTGTGTGTGTGTGTGTGTGTGTGTGTTTTCTGAGGTTTTCGCGGGTATTTGTATGTGGATCTTTGGTTATTCGAGTTTTCTCCCGTGTAAAATTGAAAGTATCTTGGCAACGTTTCGACGAAATCTCATTTGTCATCTTCGGGCTTGTGTCTTCGGCTTTGTGCTTCTTGGAGTAAGAGTGATTATTAAGTAAGAATGAGATTTCGTCGAAACGTCCCCAGGTTACTTCCAATTTTACGCAGGAGAAAACCCGAATAATCAAAGATCCATATAGATATATATATAGAGAGAGAGAGATATAGATATAGATATATTTGTTTTCTTATATATATACATATATATTTTCTTATATATATACATATACACACACACACACATATATATATATGGATGTGTGTGTGTATACAGACACATACATATATATATATATATATATACACACACACACATATACACACATATACATATATATATATATACATACATACATACATACATACATACATACATACAAAGCGGGATATAAATCTAAAAATATAGCAAAGCTCAGCCAGAGCCAGAAACCAGATAAGAAAAAAGAGGAGGGGAAAAATCAAGATAGGGACGGAGGGCGCAGCGCCGGGCCTCCCTTCCCCGCCAAGCCCTTCTCCGAGGCCCGCCGGGCGACGCCAAACCCTCCCGGGCCACGGCTTACCTCGCGGTCCGCTGCCCCTCCGGCCATGACCGGCGCCGCCTCAGCTGGATGGGGGGTCTCGGCCTGGAAGGTAGGCCCTTGGCGCTGCCGCGGTGCCCGATGGGGCTTGTAGTCCTCCCGTGCTGGGCCTGCGAGGGGCCCTCGTATGCGTCCCGCTCCCCCCAGTCCGGAGGAGACGGGCCTTTCCGCCGCCTCGGATCCGGCGTGAGGCGGCCCCGGTTGCCGCTGAGGCCGCCGCTCACTTCCTTGGCAACGCGGCCGCCCGCCCACAAGCCCTCACTTCCCTAGCGACCAGAGGCCTTGCCTAGCAACGTGCGCCACGCCCGGACGCGCCCCTCCGCTCTCCGAGGCGACGGGGAGGAGGGGCAACATCCGGGTGCTTTGCCACTACCGGAAGGAGGCCGCATGAGACGTGCCGGGCTCGCCTGAGAGGACGCTCCAGTTTTCTACTCAGTTGCCTGGATCGGGCTGCAACTGATACGCCGGGGTTTGGCGCGGCCTGTCACGACGCCGGTTCAAAATCCCGACTGGGCCCTCAGCCGGCCTCCCACACCGGCGTTACCCCTTTTGGGGGGCTGTTGCAGCCTTTGCAAAAGCCCAGCTGAATTATTAGTATATATTATATATTACTATAGGTAGTCCTCGATTTACGACCACCAAGAAGCCCAAACTTTTTGCTGTTTAAGTGAGACAGGTGAAGTTTTCCCCTACTTTGCCACCTTTCTAGCCATGGTTGTTAAGTGAATCGCTGCATTTGATAACTTAGTCACACAGTTGTTAAGTGAATCCATCTACCCCATAGACTTCACTTGTCAGGAGGTCACAAAGGGGGGGGTCACGTGACACAACTCCCCCCTCCCCGGACCCTGCGACGGTCGTAAATATGAACCAGTTGCCAAGCGTCTCAATTTAGATCACGTGACCATGGGGATGGTACCAATGTAAGTGTGAACAACAGTCATAAGTTCCTTTTCTCAGTGCTATTATAAATTTGAACAGTCACTAAATGAACTGTTGTGAGTCAAGGACGAGATGTATTTATTTATTAAATTTCTGTGCTGCCCATCTCATCGGCTTAACAACCATTCGTTTAGTGAACTTACAATGGCACTGAAAAAAACGACTTATGAGCATTTTTCACACTTAGGATAGAATTGAATAACAGTTTGATGGAACCTTGGAGGTCTTCTAGTCCAACCCCCTGCCTAGGCAGGGAACCCTATGCCACTTCAGACAAATCAATCAATCAATTTCATCTATATCGCATTTA